TAAAGAATGTCCATATCATTTTCGTGAAGAATGTCAAAATCTGGAGTAACGAATTCTTGTAAATTCTTGATTCTTGAATTCCAGTCTCCGAATAAACAGATATGTTCATATTTATTTGATAATGTATCTAGTTCTGCTTGCAATTCTGCAAACGGGTCTTCAACCGTGTATATAGAGTTTTCTGGTGGCACATATATTACGCCATACAATATATCACCTATTTTAGTAAGTTTATGATCACATCCGTGTTATTTGTGCCGTGTGGCGGCTGAAAAAAGTCTCCCCGTACATTTAATCAATGATGTTATATTTTCGATCCTTGAAGATCGTTCAGCACGACATTATTGTTGTGCTTGTGGTATTTTTAGTTTCAAGTTTTCGGCATTTTCTAGTTGGGTGGTTCCAATATTCCTACTTGAATAATGTTGAATCACCCTTAGGATATGTTGCCTGCTTTTTAAATTTGTCTTTTGACGTCTCATCTGTGATACGCAGGCTTCATAACCTCCGATCCCCTTTCAAAATTCCATTTTATTTAGTTCCGCCCATTGTTTTCTCGTTTAGGGCACACGCTTTTTATTACTTGGGGACCATACGCCGCTTTTCATGGAATGGCACGGAAGTGTCACATTGAAGGTTCCGTGATAACCGCCGTATGAACACATCTGCGGATGTTTCTAAATTCAAAATTTTACTATTTCACGTTTAAATGTTGAATTCTGCTTATAACCGCCGTATGAACACATCTGCGGATGTTTCTAAATTCAAAATTTTACTATTTCACGTTTAAATGTTGAATTCTGCTTAAGCCGGTGCTAGGGGGCGTGGACGGTAACTTGCACTTTCCAGTACCGTCCATGAACAGGCTCAATCAAACCGAGCCTGCAACATTTTCAATTTTGCCGTGTTGGGCTTTCTTTAGGGATTCTATATTCATCTATTCTATTTTATGAGAAATTACGAACCATTGGACAATTGAACTGGCTGTGTCAACAAAAGAAATATATCGTTTAATATTATGTTTATAGGCCACACAAATCCCACCCGATTTTCTTCGTGCAACATGCTTCCTATGTTAAGAATACAAATCAAAGTTTTCAAATCGGACCGAGTCAAGAAAATCAGTTTTTGTTTCTTGAAACCCGATAACATCATACTTTTGTATCAATGAATAAAATTGGGAGTGTTTTGTTTAGAAACTAAGCCACACACATTCAATGACAAAACAGAGAAAAATTGTGTTTGGTCTATATAGGATGAATTTACACATTGACCGCAATGATTCCGTTCGGGCGAGCACTTATTAAAATTTTTGTCATCGGTTTTACTGTTATAATTCTCTCCCTGCCTGACCTAGTGATCAGGTGTATTTGAATACGCATTACTATCCACTTCAATTGGTGATACGGATTGAGGCCCTGTCTGGGGTGACAAGAGTTTTGGGATAGTTTGATCCGTTTCGGGATTTGTTGCTCCTTGTAATAAACAGTTATTGGTTTCGGGTGCATTACCTATGTTGACACGTTTCACGTATGTTTCTTCTAGTGGTGACCGAGCATTTTGCTTATTTCGGTTGAGTGACCTCTATGGAACGCGTCAAAACGGTTTGGAGTACTGAAGTCAATGGGGGCTTTTTGTTTTTCACGTCCTCGGGGTATGTTTGGTTGGCGATTCGGGAACGGCTTGCGCAAATTTTGTTTAAGATCATTTTTTCCAGTCAGCATATCTATTATTTTTCGCATCACTGTTAATATTGGGGTTTACGTGTCCAGGTGATGTAGTGTTTGAGTCGAGAACAGCAGTAGATGATCGCTTCTGGTTGATTAATGAATGTGTCTTTGGATCATACAATCTACCATTTACGTAGAGTTTGTCACGAACAAGGACGCATTTATTATCCTCGTTACTGCGATTTTTATCGCTGTACTCACGCATTACTGGATAGAGTTTACGTCGGCGTTCCTCGACTTCTATGGAGAATTGTTCATTTATATAATGACCATTTTTTGTTTATTCAAGTTAATGCCCACGTTACGTATTAGTTCTCTTTGTTTTGGGTCAAGAAATTGAGCAACAATTTGTCGAGGTTTTTTTTGCATAAGGGCCTCCTAATCTGTGAACTCGACCCAGTTTAATACTACTGACCGATATTTCGCCTTCCTTGTCAACTAAAGGCTTGTTTTGCACGTGGTTTTCGAGAAAAGTACGCAGTGTGGATTCAGCTGACGAAAGTAGCACCGAGATTGGGATTACTTGTCATAAAAGTAGTAGAATGTAAAGAAAATATTATTTTTACTTCCACAGTGAATTAATTTATAAATGAACTTTTTGCCAGAAAGCAAAAAAAGCAATAGATGGTTTTAGTAGTTGGCCAGTCAATAACTATTTGGAAACTGTAATAATATCAAATAAAAATAAAGGCATTTTTGAGACACAATATGCCTTCAAACAGCAACTTCAAAGTTCTGCATTTTTACATCCCAGGTAGAAATATCTTATTTAGTGTAGCGAAGTAAATAATTTCGCAATAGGATAGTATTAAGCGTGCAATTCGAACCTTCAGGTTTGTGCAGCGTGGATAAAATATTTTAAGCTGACGCGTCGGTTTTTTTTTTTTTTTTTTGGCTATTTTCGTCGTTCGTGGGAAAGGAGCGGATAAATAGCATACAGATCCGGGTCGAACAAAAAACAACAAGGTATATTATTAACTGAAGAAGTGTCATTTTATTTGTTTTCATTTGTGTAGTTTATTTCTTTAAAAAAAGTTTCATCCTTGTATTTTTTCTGTTTCTGATGGGTAGCTAATGCGCACATATCATTTTACAGATCCGGGTTTATTATAATGTCAGAATATGTTATAAAAAACGACAAAACCAACATAGTGCGTTTGCGACAAGCATGGATCCAGACCAGCTTGCGCATCCCCGCAGTCTGATCAGGATCCATGCTGTTTGCTATCAGTTTCTCTACTTGTTAAAAGGTTAAAAAACGAACAGCATGAATCCTGATCAGACTGCGCGGATGCGCAGGCTGGTCTGGATCCATGCTGGTCGCAAACCAATTATGTTGGTTTTATCATGGCACGGCTCAAATTTTTATGTAACATGTTTATAATGACTCGCTTAAGTAATCATTGCCCAAAACTGCGTTCTGAAATAAACATCGTAAATGCAAATCACGCTGTAGTTGTTACTAATGTATATATTTTGTCCAAAAAAGCGGCAACTAGTCATAAACACAGATGTTAGAAGGACAAACACAGATGAATGTTGTTTAGTTTTATAACTGCAATAACCACTTTAATTCATTATATATTTTCAATGATTTTCGTTGTATACAGCTAAAATTTATATGAATTTAATAATTTAGTTTGCATCTAGGATGTCTTGCATGTCTTAAAGAAACTAAGCTAAAATAACTTGCACGGAGATGGTGTATATTTGGCTGGCATTTGCATTATTTGTGTTTTGTTTTTATGTTTTTTTAGGTAATATCAAAGATTTTAAAGCAAAACTTCAAATAATTATATTGTATTACAATACGGGATAAACTTATGAAATGCGTTTCATTGTCCGAAACTTTAATTGACCATAAAGTAATAACACGTATTTTATTGTTATGATAAAATTGTATATTTCATTACTTGATTTGTCCCGGATATTTTTTTCATACAGTATTACTGCAGGCGTAGGATGGACACTAAGTTAAATTGACCTGTGCGAACAGCTGCTTTCAAGCTTTTGGTATTTGGAAGTATTCAAAGCATAACACGAGTTATAATAATTGGAAGTACTTTATTTCATTTTTAAAAAAATTCAGAAATTCAATATTATTTAGAGTTATACTGTTTAAGATATTTTCTTTCGATTATATTAACCGTTGAATATTTTCACTGTTTAAGCTGTTCACTGTTGTAAAATTTCTCTCGTAAATGTTAATTTTTGCAAATGTCCACTGTTGCAGATGTCCACTGTTGCAGATGACCACTGTTACATATGTTCACTGTTGCAGATATTCACTTTTGCATGCAGATATTCACTATTGAAGATGTTCACTGTTTAAGATATTTACTGTAAATTGTAGATGTTTACTGTTGAAGATATTCTCTTTTGCAGATGTTCACTGTTGCAGATGTGCACTGTTGCAGATGTTCACTGTTGCAGGTGTTCACTGTTGCATGTGTAAACTGTTACAGATGTTCACTGTTACAGATGTTCACTGTTACAGATGTTCATTGTTGCAGGTGTTCACTGTTGCAGATGTCCACTGTTACAGATGTTCACTGTTGCAGATGTTCATTGTTGCAGATGTTCATTGTTGCAGATTTCCACTGTTGCAGATGTTCACTGTTACAGATGTTCACTGTTGCAGATGTTCACTGTTGCAGATGTTCACTTTTGCATGCAGATGTTCACTATTGAAGATGTTCACTGTTTAAGATATTTACTGTAAATTGTAGATGTTTACTGTTGAAGATATTCTCTTTTGCAGATGTTCACTGTTGCAGAGATTGATTTTTTTTACAGAAGTTAACTGCTGCAGATGTTCATTGTTAAAAATATTCACCGAAGATGTTCACTGTTGCAAGTGTTTTCTTTTGTAGTTGTTCACTGCTAGATGTGTTCAATATTATAAAGAACTTCACTATTTAAGATATTTCCTGACGATAATATGATTTTATTGCAGCTGAAAAGCTTTTCACATTACTTGGCATACAAATGTATATCGAAAAACATTATTTTTATTGTTGGTGTTATTTTGTAAACTGTCTGGTCTGTACTACTTACACGGGGGTGATTTATATTTGGCTTGTATTTGCGTCTAGTATGGGGACTACAGCTGTCAAACAAATTTCGCAGATGTGTAATAAAAGATCTTATTACTATCCGGGGCAAACTGTAAAAATGCGTAATAATATCTGCAACCTTAATTGTAATTCTAAACATAAAGATAATACAATTTTATTTTTTTCGATCCATTGTACGTAATAAATTTTGTCCCGGATATATATTTTTAACATTGTAGTTTTACTGCAAGCGTGGGATGGTCTATTAGTTATAAAGAGCCGTGCGAGCGGCAGCTTTTAAAGATTTGGTTTTGGGAAGAATTTAAAGCATATCGGGAGCCACTATGATTATAACACTGTTTGCAGTTCTGGTAATTTAAACATTTATTTATTATTTATTTTATTTCATGTGACTTTAAAATTGACTTTCTTATTACAGCTGTCGTAGGAACACGTTTTAAACCTAATGTTTATGATGCGATAAGTGCTTTGTTCGTTGAAGGACATTGAGGTATAATTTTTATTTTTGAAAGGTGTTTGAACATTTTAATAAAAGAAATAAGAAAAGAAAAATATCTGTTCTTTTTTTTTATATTTGACATGTTTGACGACTGGTTCGTTTAATACGTGCGTAGACACGTTGCTCTATAAAACATTTTTTGTTTAATATTGAGAGTTCTTAAAAAAATTCTTAAATGCCAACAACAAAAAAAGATTTAAATTCTATACTCAAACAAAAATATATTGTACATCATGTGTAAATTCATAACAACTATTTTAAACTCATTATGTACATTTTGTATTCCTATTAAGTTGGTTAATCACCTTTAAAAGTAAGGGCACTTTGACGGCGAAATTATCGCTACTTATGATTTCAAAAACCTAACGCTTTGTGTATTAATATTTTGCAGTTACGTTTAAACAGTATTTTATTTCAATCAAACTTTAATACACAATATAATAACAATCAAATGCAAAAAGGATTTGGTAGAAAGCTAGAAGTATTGTTTAGAAACTCTCTCCTTAAAATGAAACAGTAGTCGTTAATGATAACATTCATATATAAACAAAATATAATATGCTTGTAATCCTAAAAATTCAATATTTATCAAAGTACAAAAATGATCAAAATGAAAATTAAGAAATTGAAATAAATATTAAGACATTAATTTACATTAATGGAAAATATTGAAAATGGTAAATCATTTCATGTAAAAAAAGACAAAAAAAGTGAAATTGGTATATATGTGCACATGTTTACTTACTGGATAGTTTCCTCACATGAAAGAAATCAGAGAATCTGTCGGGATTCGAACCCACAACGGTGCAGGAAAATAGTTTTTAGTTCACGACCCAAACCACTTAGTCATCGTTATATAACATGTCATCGTAATATAACATGTCATCGTAATATAACATGGTATTTGGTATTTTTTCAAACACTCTCTTCGGCTATTTTCAATTGAGTAATAATATTACTAAAAAGAAAAAAAAACAAAAAACACTTAACATCACACAAAAAGCAACAACAAAAAACATAAGTGAGATTGTACATTTTTTGAAATTTTAAAATTACATTTCACCATTTAAACAAAATTTGAATTTATTTATTGATTATGTCCTGCTATCAATTCGTCTATCCATATAAAGTAACTTAATATATGTGTTTGTGATCTGTTTTCAGGGGCTGTTTGCCTCGCTTGTCAATTGTAACATTGACCTAGAAGACCTGGAAGACGTGGTTGCCCGCAGAGTAAAAAAACGTAAGTATTTTTTATCAAATTTATGTACGCAAGGCATAGTCATAAAATGCCTTACACTTTTTGCCATTTACTTTTTACTGGAACATATTTTTCGCCGGGGAAGGCGAGACGTACTTTGTGAATGGCATTGCAAAAATATCTGCACATGCGGTTGGCTTTGTATTACCGGTAATTTACAATAACGCCTTTATAAACTTTTATGGATAAAAGACATTTCATTCATAAATTACCTGATGAAAAGATATGCAATATGATACGATGCCATATGATATATAAAATGCATCACACTATGTAAATGTCATTTTGTATATTGACGTTATGTTTTACGTCTTCATATTACGTTTAATATCATGTAATAATGCACTTGATTGCCCTATATATTTCATAGGGGAATAGTGTGAAGCGTGTTAGAATATTCCATAATAAATGACTCAAAAGTATACTCTGTAGAATATTGTAGATAAATTTTGATCATAATTGCCATGAGAATTTAACTTTTAGCTATGGCTTGCTGTAACCAAAAGTAACTGGCCTTTGCCACCAAAATAAAGCCAGACAAATCTGTTCATTCGTGCAGTCTGAATAGGTTCGAGTTCTTAGCTGTTGGCTTGCTAATTTTATACTTGAGCCGCGTCACAACAAAACCAACATAATGGGTTTGCGACCAGCATGGATCCAGACCAGCCTGCGCATCCGCGCAGTTTGATAAGGATCCATGTTGTTCGCTATCAGTTTCTCTACTTGTAATAGGGTTGGTATATCCTGATCAGACTGCGCGGATGCGCAGGCTGGTCTAGATCAATGCTGGTCGCAAACCCATTATGTTGGTTTTGTCATGACGCGGCTCATTTTAATCTTGTTTTCAAACGTTTATAATGGGCAATTCTAAAAATGTTTATTTGAGAAATCTAGCAGGTAATGTTTTTAAAAAATATCTCCACTTTATTAGAGCACATGACCAGAATAAAGCGTTATCGAAGCATTTATATTGAATCATCATTTCTCAGAATGATAACACATTTTATTTCCATATGAGGAGTTTGATGAAATTTTTGCGTGCTGTTTTATTTATTAAAACTACATACAATTATACGCACACAATCTTAATTATATGGCAAACAATTGGCAATTCACAGTTTGGAAATATTAACATTGATACTGCGAATTCACTTTATTTATTTAATGAACATGAAATTTCGTGGTATTTTTTTCTCTCTCTCTCTCTCTCAAAAAATCATTTTCGTGGGTACTAATATTCGTTGATTTTTTATTTTTTCAAATAAGGTAAAATGTAAATAACGTGATGCAAAATAATCTTACAGCAGGCGAAAAGAAATTTTGTTGGATTTTAATTCGTGGATTGACTTATACACGAAAACCACGAAAATCAGTGCACCTCGAACAAAATTGAATTTTGCGACCTTCTTTTAAGATAGTAAAAAATAATTCAATCATGAAAACATGCTCTCTTTCAGAACGTATTGCGTTCGAGGCTCACATGGAAAGTGGACATGGGTTTTACCCTTTGAACAAGCCACTTATTTTTCCCGTCTGTACACTTAACGAGGGCAACGGTTATGATGACAAAAGTGGTAAATTCACTGCGCCTAGAGCAGGTGTCTACACCTTTAATGCGCATGTCTGTCATGGTGGTGGGAAATATATGGTGTTTGCCATCGCGAAGGGCGGCGTTCAACTAGCAGTTTCGACAAGCTATGAGAATATCGGCTCTGGATGTGGTTCCCTTAATACCATTGTGAGGCTTAAGAGCGGAGAAGTTGTTAATGTAGTCGCAAAATGGACTGGCAGTCACTTAGTTGCAAATGAGCATCGTTGGATTTCCTTCAGTGGCTATTTTGTATACGCTTAGTGTAACCCATATGTTGTTGTTAACAGAACGAACAGAACAGTTCTGTGTCTTTAAGTATGTACGTATTCATGCAAAAGCTTGTTTGTAATCAGTACAGCAATGCTTTTTGAACATATTAATTAAATAAACCACTTTAAATGAATAATTCAATACTGTACCAGTACTTTTACACTTACTACAAGATACATTTTAGAATGAGAAAGAACAAATAAAACTGTACTTCATAAATTTTGACTAATCACTGTATACTCTTGCAAGATTAAATGAATTTCCCTTCTAAGACATCAACATTTTAAATATTGAATAATTATGAAGACAATAATTATTAATATACAATATATGCATGCATAGCCTGATTTTTGAAAGCTTACACTGTTAATTTTTCAACATAATTCGCATTTAAGGTAAGGCAAAATAAAAGTCTAGAGATAACCATTCAGTATAATATATAATTAGACGGATTTTAGTGATAAACGATATAAAATAGCTGATAAGGTATGAGAAGTATAAATGGTATATACATGTAACACTTTTGTGCTTATTGTGTGTGTGCGTGTTAGTTTTTTTTCATAATTGTACTCATATAATTAGTACTCATATAATTACACAGAAGTCTTATATACGGATTTCATTTAAACGCATTTTTTTGTAAATAATCCACATAGGCATCACAACAGCTGTGCAAAAATTATTAATAAACGCCACGATTGTCCAATGAAAGTCTACGTTACAAACGTGCAGTCTGGTAATACGTCACATAATTGGCGGTATCAATTGGACACATTATCTTGTAATCAAAGAAAGAAATCTATTTTTGTTTACATTCCCTTCGACGGAGTTAACCGATTTTCATATATCAGACATTCAATACAGCCTTTTACAATTGTTGACAATACAATGCGTATTCCAATAAGGAATGAACACTTTTATTGTTATCAAATCAAACTTTATTTGTAATATTTAGACTGTAGTTTGTAATCAGAAAGCAATAAAACATTTAAATGTATATACACATGGAAGCATTGTTTATTTTTATCCTGATTAAGTTTTCTTGTAGATTTAGTTTACTGATAGAAATGTATGTTGTTCTTTCCTTTAAAACAATATGCATATCAACTAAGTGATGCGTTGTTCTTAAGGAGGCTAGAATCACACTTCCCTTGAATAGAAATGTAAACAAGAACTCCGGGTGCTCGTCCCAGAAAGGCATGTGTATGAGTTCCGGGTTCCCATCTCCGTGTTGCTCGTCCCTTGCAAGCACGTGTTTCATTTCCCGTGTTGCTCGTCTCAAAATAGTATATACATGTGTTTCGGTATCAAAGATCCGTGTTGTTCGCCCATAAAAAACAAGTGAATGAGTTCCGGGTTCCTAGCTTCAAGTTGTCTTTCTCGGACAGGCAGATAAATTAGTTCGTGGGTTCCGTCAACGAGTTGCTCGTCCTTAACAAGCATGTGAATGACTTCCGGATAATTATCTGGTTTTTCACGTCATAGAAAGGCGTGTGAATGAGTTCCAGATTATTATCCACGTACTGCTCGTCCCGAACAGGCATTGAAATGAGTGCCGGGCACCTAATACATTAGGTACTATTAGACAAAGCTTTTAAATGTCTAATATGATAGTTTTTATGCGCATACGCATAAAGAAAGCCCTGTGTTTATAAGGTCACGTTTTGTCATGCGGGGTGGGGGAGACTAATCGCCTACCAGTACCGTCGAGCGTATGAAATATATCTGACAGTTGAATTCACGTGACAAAATCTAATTTCTGTTCAATGTGTGACAGTATTTCAATCTTTTTATTTATTTATTTGTTTTATTTTTATTTCTTTTCTTTCTTTTTTGGGGTATATATTTATGATTATTTCTGATTCTTATAAGTTCATGAAAATATTAAGTTCATGAAATATGAAAAAAAAACATCATCAAGGAAAGGCGGCGTTCAATGAACGCATCTCCAACGTGACCAAGCAACATAGGACCAAGGGCAACGAGACCAGTAGGACTCACAACAAAAGTAGGACAGGACACTTTAAACACTCCTTTTTGCATTTTATATTTACAAAAGAAGCTTTACAACAAGTATTTCTGTCATAAATTTGTATAATATTTATGACAGCGGGGCTTTGTTTGATTGATGGATTTATTTGCTTCTATTACTATATTAGCTTGAAATTGTGAAGCAAATTGACTTATTAGACTATTGTACTGTAACTTACAAAGTACTCTCCTCATGTTGGCTGGTTTTATTCATTGAAACTTCTTTTTATTTTCATTTGAATTTTCTTTCTTTTCTTTTTAAAAAAATATCATCTCAAGAAAACATAATCATTCAGATAAAATCAATCATATAACATTAAAAATAAAATTTAATTTATTACTGACAGAGAATTTGTCGAACTTGTTGCCAGCACTATAAAGTGTTGGGAATTGAGTACCACTCAAGCTGATGATAGGTGGCTACAGGGATGTGGCACGTATTCATTATCCCTCATGTACAGACTCAATCAAACCAGGTCTTCAATTGTCATGTAATTTTGTTGTGCTTAATGCTTCCGAGGGATCAATTTGTTTTCAGTTTTTTCTTATATTTAGCAGAATGTAGAAGACGATGCTTCCTCAGCTTCAACTTCCATATGAACCATCTTTATATTTCCTTTATTACTGCTGAGCAAAACATGTCAATATAGAAATGTTATAGACAAAAGATTGAACCAGACATGCAGATAAGACTAAGCATTATAAGCATTGCCATGTCTCGTTCACACATCGGTCATAAACATTAAAAACACTTTTAATAATTTCCCTTACACAAAATGGTCAGATGTTTCCTAATGGAAGGCCAGGTGCATATTTATGGGGGAAAAACACGAAGAATATCCATATACATCTTTATCTTTCAAAATGTAACATCTCGACATTTATCTGAAATTCATTTGGTATATTTTGCAACATATTTTCTCAATTCATCCGATGATGAATTATGTTTTTCCCGTACGTACACTTACATCTGTAACAATAAATAAAGAAAGGGTCACGCTATGTTAATTATAGTGCACATATTGACTATGGTAGATACGGCCTTTCAATAGGAAAGTCACTGACAACAACAAAATGAATTTGTCACACTGGTAAGAATAAATTGAAAGGAAATATTGTCAGCAACGGAAATCGACAAACGTATTGATAAAAAAGTATATTTTGTACATGTCTTTTAGTTTAAACAAAAAATATACAAAATATATTAACCAAGATCAACAAGGAAAGGCGGCGTTCAATGAATGCAACCCCAAAAGTCCCAGCAACAAGAACCAGCGGCAAGAAACCCTGGAGGACCCAAACAAAAATAGGACAGGGCACAAGGCAGAGCACAAACATGATACTTTATTTCAATCAAACATATATGCGCAATACAATTACAATCAAATACAAAAATGACTAAGTAAAAGCTACGAGGTTTTTCTCTCCTTGGAATGAAAGAATTATCATTTATAATATAACATTGATGCATAAACAAAATATTGTAATTCAAAGTAGTCAATATCGGAATACAAAAACGATCAGAATGAAAAATAGAGAAATTAAGATAAACATTAGGACACTTATGTTACATTAAACGGAAAAGATAAAATAGACAAAGTTGATTATATATCTTCAGCTTGACAAAGTTGGTTTTATCTTAATCACTCTTGATATGACTATTTGTTTCAAGGTCTCAGAAACAAATACAAGAGTCCTTCTTAAAAAAGGGGCAAACGCAAACGTTTGAATAAACATCTTATAGATAGAGGTTCCATGATAACCGCCGTATGAACACATCTGCGGATGTTTCTTAGTTCAAAATTTCACCATTTTTGTGTTTAAATGTTGAATTATGCTTAAGCCGGTGCTAGGGGTCGTGAACGGTACCTTGCACTTTCCAGTGCTGTCCATGAACAGGGCCTGCAACATGTTACAATTTTGCCGTGTTGGGCTTTCTTTAGGGATTCTGTTTTACTCTATTTTTATACATGAACATAGCATAACACATGCTAAAAGAAGCACAATGCAAACTTTATCCTAGAAAAGATACAAGCATATTTTACTTTATTTCATTGAATTGGTTGTGGATAATAAGTTATGTTTATAAAGAAAGAAGCATTTTCGATTGTTACACATTGTTAAACATGTTTTTGTCTGGTTCTTGTTGCCTGGTCGTGTTACGGTTGCGTTCATTGAACGCCACCTTTCATTTTTGATCTCGTCTGTCATATTATATTACATAAAACACCAGTCCTGCTGTTTGTAACTAATTAATATATACGTATAACCATCTTGGATTGGTAATAAGTCAGCTCTTATACACAAATACCAAACAAAACAATTATATGCTTAAAGGCACATTATGTCTCAGAAATGAATTTAATACAGCTTATATGTTTTATAAAAATCAAATAATAATAGTAAAAGAGAATGCTTTATGCTTATTTCTTCAAGTTGCAATGAAAATGACGTTATTTGTCATAGAAGTAGTAAAGTGTAGACAATACAGTATTTAGAATTCCATACACATTATTCTATCACCATAATTGGACTATTGTCCAGAAAACAGCATAAGTAAAATATGTACAGGTAATTGGCCGATGCGTACATTTTTGAAAACTAAAAAAAATTAGAACATAATATACCTTTCTGGAATTTTCTGAGTTAATATATATAAAGTGACGTTTTTTTCATTACCTTTACCTTTTAAGACATCAGTGATCTTTTAAGTCATCAGTTACCTTTTAAGTCATCAATATATTTGGAGTATTATTCAACTTGGATATTAAGTGAATTATTGAGGTTGGATTTTAAAATAAATTATTCTTGTGGATTTTATTATGGGAATTTATTCTAATGTGTTCTTGGATTTAACTTGGATTTAACTGTGCTATTCAAAAAGGATCATTCCAGGATCAGATAAGACATTTTAATTTTACATTTTTATTTGGACTTCAGGTATTTGTACACATAATTTGTTGTTTTAATTTTCTTTATTAATTTTTCTGTAATAAATTTGTTATTGTTACAAGTTTGGTACTGGCTTTTCTTTCTCGTTACGATTGGCTCGTAACAAGCTAGAGTTTAGATATTAAGCATGAAACATCTTCTACTGAGTGTCTACAAAATTTGTTCAAATTAAAATCCTGGGGTCAAAATTGGCCCCGCCCCGGGGGTCATTGATTTCCTTATATGTGTATAGGAAAAACTTAAAAAATTTTCTTTGAAAAAAACAAAATAGCTAAAGTTTAGATATTAGGCATGAAACATCTTCTAATAAGTGTCTACAAAGTGTGTTCAAATAAAAGCCCTGGGTGTCATTGTTTTTAACTACATGTGTATAGTAAAAACTTAAAAAATCTTTTTTAAAAAAACCAATGAGCTAGAGCTTAGATGTTTAGCATGAAACATCTTTTTATGGGTGCCTACCAAGTTTGTTCAAATGAAAGCCCTAGGGTTAAAATTAACTTTTGCGGGGGGGGGGGTCATTGTTTTCTCTCATATGTGTATAGCAAAAACTTAACATCATGAAACATCTTCTAATGGGTGTTTTAATTCCAGTTTTTAATTCCAGGTTTGTTTTTTGTTTTTGTGTTTGGGGTCCGCCTGGGCTCCTTGCCATTGGGTTCTTGTTGCTTGGTCATATGGAGGTTGCGTTCATTGAACGCCGCCTTTCCTTGTTGATCTTGTTTATCATATTTTATGATCAAATAAAAGCCGTGGGGTTTAAACTGGCCCCGCTTCGGGGGCTATATACGGGTTAGCGACCTCAGGGCCATCATGGCCCTGCTGTTTAAGTTTTTATAATATAAATTTACAAATTATTTTTGTTAGAGCTAAAATTTTATTTTAGGTTATTCATTACTTCTTTTGTTATTTCTTATGACAATTTTGCTTAATATTTGATTTATTACATTCATTCTAAATTCAATTTCAAATTGCTAAAAAGAATAATAATTGTTAAACCACACTTTAATTGAATGT